CGCCTCGGGCCCAAAAAAAGCCCGTTGTGATTTCCTCGAGCCGAGCCCGAGCCCAAAATTTCGGCTCGCGAGCCGGCTCGGCTCGACTCGTTTACATCCCTGATACGGAGTCATTTTGTAAATTGACTTTCATGAAATAGCAGATGTCATCATCAAAATAATGTATACAAATGGGACATATAAGAATTGTAAACCTGGCTTTCATCAAACAGCCGCAAAGGTCGACCCAAAGGAGCGCATTGTTACCTAAGCCCGTTGTGATTTCCTCGAGCCGAGCCCGAGCCCAAAATTTCGGCTCGCGAGCCGGCTCGGCTCGACTCGTTTACATCCCTGATACGGAGTCATTTTGTAAATTGACTTTCATGAAATAGCAGATGTCATCATCAAAATAATGTATACAAATGGGACATATAAGAATTGTAAACCTGGCTTTCATCAAACAGCCGCAAAGGTCGACCCAAAGGAGCGCATTGTTACCTTGAAAACGTTGTTATGAACATCAGAATTTTCTTTCTCAATTTGTGAGATTTCTTCTCTAATTGAATTAAGAGCATAACAGTGGAAGTTTGACTGCTCAAAATTTTTTACCCAAAATGATCACACGTAGAAGATTGGAGAAAAGTATATACCTTACTGGTGACCTCCTGTTTGAATTAACTATGACTTCAGGGACCACAACGATATCACTACGCAGGTTACGCATCCTATATAGTAGGTAGGCATTGTTTAGATTATTACAATCTTTTTTAAGCATTCATACAGCTAAGAACCAAACGAATTTCAATAAAAAAACCTTTCACACATTAACAAAATAAAATATAAAAAAAAATATATAGATCTCCAAATAGATGAAAAAACATTTCCTTCTTTCTTTAGGAGATACTTCACAACAAGATCTCTACTTAGATCTTCTTGGACATAAATGGTGATGGATAACATCATCTAAATATCCTTATGGAAGCCTGAGAAGAACTTAACTCACGACTCCTATCAAACTCATAGAAAAAGGGGCTCAATTCAAATTTATTCTCAAGATTTCAGGTAATTAACAACAGTGGCGAATTCAGGAGTTTGAGTCAGCACGAGCGGCCGTTGACCATCTACCGTTGGCCGCAATAAAATATTAAAAGTCCTTTTGGGATCGATTTTTTTTTCAAAAAATGCATTTTGAAATGGTGATTTGATGGAGAATGTCTGAATGTGTGACTAAAAATAAAGACAAATTTTGAATTTACGTGTCATATTATTTTATTGAAGAATGTATGGATGAAAAGAAGAAAGAAAAGGGAGAATCGAAGGCCTAACGTATAAATATAACAATTATTTTGTGCAAAATGAATATATATAATTCTGTTATAAGAATAAATAGAACTCATCAAATAACATTGTTGTGAAGTTTTGTATAATTCAAAGGAAGAGTGTGAATTCGAATATTTAAAATTGTTTGCATTAAAACAATCAAAACCTAACAAATATCATTTTGTTAAATTTAGTAACACAATTCAAGTGGTACCATAATGGTTAAGTTCACCACAACCCTTGCTTGAGATCATGGGTTCAAATTCTCATTGTCCCTTCCTTGTTGAATTTTGGTAAAAATTATAGAATAAAAATAATACATAAGAAGTTCATTAACAAAGATTCGAACCTAAGACTTGAAATATATTAAGGCTGGCTCTCACCAAGTAAGCTACAGGAATGTTTGAAAATAAAATCAATTATCAACAATATAAAGTCGAAATTTAATCTATTACTAACAAAAAAAATCCCGGTGGATCCAGTTAGGGCGGCCGCCCCCTGGATCCGCCACTGTTAACAACTGAAAAGATTAAGATGACGAATAGACAAACATAAAAAGGTAGGATGCTAGGATCATAAAAAGAGCCTTGTATGGGCATGGACAGCGGAGTTTGGATTATGTAGTAAGGCATCATTTTAGTCTCCCATCGATCTGAGCTGCCGCCTTGGGGTTCCAAAAGAAAGAGAACTGATTGATGATCGGACGGCGATGACTATCTATGAGGTGAAGAAGAAATAAACCATTCAGTAATCACAATCTTAATGAACAGAGAATAATGAGCAATCATCGAAAGCAGAACAATTACTTGAGGTCCAACATCCTTTTGCAACAAGGTGTATTCTTGCTCAACACCATACCTATTATAGATATAGCTCTAAAAAATTCGGGATTGTAAAATGTAAACTAAATGAGGAGTCGCAAATGGCACATAATGATGAAACCAAGGTTTTTCGGCAACAACATTAGGATTGCTAAATATTTTGGTTAGACTGTTCCTTCTGTTAGTTGGAATTGGCTCACTAGCTAGGGTGTAAGCATCACAGATGATCTATGAGGCAAAAAGAAAAGGCGATATCATATAATCCACATAACAACATAATTAAACACAAAATATTTATTAGTAATAAGGGGAAAAATAACTCACCAATATGTTATTTACCCTCCTGAATGGATCATTGTAAATTGTTTGAGGATTGTCTCATCGTCATGCAATGCATTAATGCGCATGCATATATTTCATTATAAAATATCTTAAATGGAAGACGGCTTACTATAAGATGACTTAAAAGTCTTCTCTAAGAGCTTGACCCACCATAGTTCCAGTTCGGAAGCTTTGCAGGGGCATTAATGGGTCCAGAAAGTGCCTACCAAAACCAAAGATATCGTGTAAGAATTTATAAACTCATTATGGAACATTAATTATTACATTTGTAAAAAGAAAATTCAAGACAAGAAGGGTTGATTACCCTTGTTTGCTTCTGACGTCCATACCACAGCCACCAATCTTGTTTAAATATTGTTTAAATGAAATGACAATGGGTAGAACAAGAGGAAAAATGTTTGTTCCACTTGAAAAGAATTAATTATAATGAATTAAAACAAAATGTACAAAATAATCAGCACCATAAATAATCACAACTTTTACAATCAACGATCTCTGTCTAGTAAAACCAAAATTTGTTATCTGCTTACATAGGATATTGACTAAACTGGATAGCTTGGTTCAAGACTAGTGAAGTTTGTTAGATTCTCAATTGTTAATCACTTCTAATTTAAGCTATCAATAGGCGAACTACCTATTGATGGCTTTGCCTATCTATTCTATCAGTATGGTCAGCTTGCCATGCTTATTAATTTCATGCCTCCAAATAAATCCCATAAACATCAAGTAGACAACAAAATGTACATTTGCAAAGAAGGATAACAAGGAAAAGGTACAATCAATATCCATCGATAATGAAAAGGCTATTTGTAACTATAACGGTTGGAAATTACTCAAAAACTTCAAATTAAAATGTGATCTTCTGTTCATAGGGTTGATCCAGAAAGACCAAAAAAAAATGCATAAACATCAAAATATCTACGATAATATACGCATAGATATACAGAACGGTAAAAAGAATGGATTGAAACATGTATAATAAGAAGCATGTTACACAATAATTGAAAACAACGCACGTTAGTGCATATGAAACACAATAAAATGAAGAACCAGAGAATCTGACAAAAAAGGGATCAAAACCCACAAAAATTACACCAAGAGATAGGTAAAACAATGTCCCATATTTTTTTAGGACAAATAGAAAATAAAAACAAAAAATAGAGAATCCAATACTATCAAGAAACAGAGCAACACCATAAACTAAATGAAGAAAAACTCACCGTATGTGCTCAACAATAATCTTTTCTGTAGAGCTTGAGAGATTAAGACTAATGAGATTTGAAAGCTATTGGTATAGAATAGGCGATGCGGGTGACGCCATTCTCGTCAACCTCACGTATCATTGTGAGATCCATTAATGAAATTGGGTATTGAAAAGAAAACCCAGCAGAAGAAATGAAGAGATTTCCATGGTAAATCAGCAAAATCTTAAGATATGTTAGGCTTTTATATAAATACCCAGCCAAAAATCAAATATAAAAGCGTGTTCACACATTTCGATCAGAATGTGAAAGTGTTAAGTACGTGAAAACACATACCACTATTGCCGATCAACAACAGCTTGATGAGATATAATCATAATCAGCTCGAGCTCTGGCAAGTGGAGAACGCATTTACATATGATTTAATTCAAACATCATAAATTTAATACAACAAAAAAACTTGGAAAAAGGGTAATCCTAAAGATTTATTTCAAGGTGGGAGAAATCATAACATCTAAAATTTGAAATTTTAAAATAATAATAATATTGATGAGAAAAGGTCAAAATTAATATACACAAACTATTCCTCTCATAACCATCTTCTCTTGAATCAACAACAACCCAATTATACACTATGATTTTCATAGCATCAAGCCAAACGAGCCATTTTCTTTCTAATTGCCAAATGTTTACAATATTGTTTAGCTAATTCTATTCAATTTTCCTCAAGCCCAGCTTTCAAATGTTGGAATGCCAGACTTTTAACCTAGAATTTTGATTTCCCTTCTCAAAGTTCAACGTAAAACCTGCAAGTAGCTGAAAAAAAAAGAAGAAAAGGTCATATGATTTTTTATTGTAGTCATTACCGCATTTCTTGCAGACGAACTAGAAAGTCTCATAGAAGAGAGATCCTATTGCTCAATTATGATGGAGAGACTGCTAAGATGAACAAATTGATCATGTTTTACAAGTAGGTACTTTTATCGTCTTCTCTTCATGCTCGATGCTATTCAATTGCATGTCAAGAATTCAAATCCGATGTTTCATTTGGTTTGAGCTCCTTGGATTTTGCTAATGCAGGATAAGACTTTTTGTCATCGATATTTAACAGTAATTCCGTCACATAAGTGCCAATTTTCTAAAGTGAATATACTTGTCTTGTTTTTGTTATTTTGAAAGACAATGCACCTTTGATGTTTAGTATGGCCCAACAAATAGAAATTTATTTTGATAATCACATATATTTTTACAGAAGCTACTAAAGAGATCATGGTATTGCTCTTTATGTTAAAATACTTATATTGAGATATACCATAGTAACCCTGTCATCAAAAGAGCATCTAAAAGGCAGCTCAAAAGAAGGAAATAATTTGGAAAGCTGGTCCAATCCAACGGAGTTGGTGGCAGGAGAAGCTGCTGAGAAGTAGATCAAGTATCTTAAAGATGAATTACCCACAATTTCTTTTAAGTGTAGTAGCATGAATCTGATTTTGGGTCGAAAGAAAGTTAAAACTGGAAAAGCAAACAATATTTTCCAAACAAGTGATTGCCTTGAAGCTGAAAGTAAATTTAGCTATGAAATTAGGAGAACTCTGGCTATGAAAATAATCCAATCAATTATTTGTATTGTTGAGTAACTTTAGCTATGAAAATGAGAGAACTCTATTTTCATTCAAAATATATAGTTTTTAAAGGTTATTAAATGAATCATAGATGTCATACAACGAGTTAAATATTTTGTGGGAAGTAATGGGCGACGCTTACTGGGAAAGGACCAATTAAGAGAGTGCCAGACTTGCCAATTGAGCAAAGTAAATATCACTTTGTTCTAGCATGAGAAAAGAGGCAATGAATGTATTATCTAACCTAGCTGAAACATGCTAATATAGCATCAAAACATTTCTGCTTTGTTTCTGGTATTAAGTCATTGTTGTGCATTTTTTTCTTAAAGACATGTGAAAGAAAATGCGAATAAACAGGTATGAACTTTAAATGCATTTATTGAACATAAAGGAAGAATAATTGTTTATAAGAATGAAGAAGTTAAGGGCTTGATTTACTTTGGAGCATTAGAAAGTAGACCTGTAACACTAGGATCTTTTGTCTTTACCAATTAATTTATGATTGTTTTCATTCTTTTTATTTAGTCTGTCAATTTTTTCCTTTTATTTTATGTTCTTAACATTATGTGTGCTTTGTTTTATCTTCTGCGACCGCATGAATTTCAACTTATTCTGTGTGTTTCCTTTCGAAATTGAATTTATCATGTGGTTTATTTTTTTGATAAAATATTTGTCATTTACTTGTAATTTCTTTTAGATTTTGACAATCCTCTCTCTATCAAAATAGTGAACACACCATCTACTTATCATTCTTGAGTATATCTATTTTATGGAGATTAATATTCAGTTCCTTTCTTTTACAGTTTCAGTAGGTTCGTTTGAAGAAGAGATCAGAGAGTCGTGAACTTGAATCTGATGGCAACAATGGTAAGGGTTCTTTGCTCCTAAAATCAGCTGTGGTGTTTAGTTTTGAATTCTATATTCTTTATTCTGTCTTAGTTATACATATGTTCTCTGAAGGTTTATTTCGTCAACACATAATGAATAAGTTACTATGATCATATTATGCTGGTTTTATAACTTCCATTGTGGTGGAAGGTTACAGTTTGGGGGTTCTAAGTGTATATTTGCTAATATGATAATGAAATTCGCAGCCATCCTCATAGATTTTTCATTCACACAATCTTTGATGATGTTGTGTTATACCAGATGTTATGTTTCAGGTCTTAAGAACATAGTGATGCGGGAAAAGAAAGTAATAAAGTTATTTTACAAATGAACATGGGAAGATTGTTTAATGAAAATCATGATTCTCTGAACAGTATGACGTGATGCATTCTATTTTATCTATGAGAATAATAATTACTAATCTATTCATTTGCCTTGTCATTGTGCTTTAGGTTCAAAATGCTGATGATAATATTTATCCCAGAAATGTGCTACCAACTTTGACATTCACACTTTAGGTAAAGGGCATTGTTGCACTCTGTGATGTTGAAAATTCTACAGGGAAAACATATTTGGGATATATTGGAAAGGCAGGCATTAGCCTCAAATCTGTATTTTGGGTATGTAGGCAGTTTTTACCGAACTCTTCTTTTAACCTACTGATTTATGTTATTTATTATTATTATTTTTTGGCACATAATGTCTTCATTTTAATGGAAGAGAAGCTTTTAAAAATAAACTCAAAGGGACTTGGTAGTCTAGAAAATAATGTCTAAATATGTAATGGAATCAAAAGGTACACAAACACGGAACTTTGCATTACAGCTTCAATATATAAAGTTTAAAAAGAAGCTTGACGATACACCCATAGTTATGAAAAAGAAGTTGGTAACATAGTTAAGGTTTATGTTGGGGAGAAGAAAATGATATGGATTGTAGTATCACAACAATTGCTGGCTGATGTCATTAGACCAGATGTGCGAATAGAAATTTCCATGGCATTTATGCTATAGGAGACAAAAATGGAGATTATATCCCACATCTAAAACAACTGCCTGTTTTTGCATTTCTTCCTCCAAAAACATATGAGTTCAAGTTTATTCATACTAATCCGGCTCTAGATGAAGCTAGAACACAAGGTTGGAACACAGATTTTAGTACTTTAGCTCTAGATGAAGCTGAAACATAGGTTATAGTACTTCATCTGAAGATGAAGCTGGAACACAAGCCTACTGTGTTCAATTTATGGAATCTGACCATCATCAAGTGATTATGGTTAATGATGATCTAACACCTGAACATTATCAATTTCTCATGTATCAACTCCTTCAAGGCTTAAAATACATTCACACGGGTTTATTAGATTCTGCAGCATTAAACCTCTCCTTCTACATTTTACCTCTCATGCATATGTAAGGAACTTATCTGAATTATTGTTGTTCTTTTTATTTTTATACAGCAAATATATTCTACCATCATTTAAAGCGAAAAATTGTTATTGCTAATGCTGATTATAAGTTAAAGATTCGCAATTTTTGTCTTTCCCCGTGTGTCATTTAGTGATGCTCCATCAGCTATTTTTTGGACTGTAAATCTGACTTCTGTTAAGTTTTTCATATTTCTTTGTAACTATCCCTTTGTTAATGTCAGTTACTTCACTTCCTAATCCTTAATTTTTCATTTTCTTAATTTTTTGATGGATTATGTAGCAACTTGAGGGTATCATGCTCCAAAGCTATGTGGATATATTTTTCTCTCAAGTAAGTTATGTAGGAACACCTAACGATTCTTTTAATTACTACTTTGTCATCTAATTCCACATAAATGTTTCTGTACAGAAGAAATTCTATTGGGTGAAAGCCCAATAAAGAATTATTTCGTTGCGTTAGAGACTTTGTTACATGTCTGTGATAATTACAAGAAAACATCCCTTGCAGACTTGGGGAGAAATTCTCAAATGTTGCTTCAGCAAGTATGAACATGCAAAGGCAGTGTCAAAGTAGCTTGCACCTCTAAACATATATTTAACTATTTACCTATGCTTTTGTGCGCCTTCAAAGACAAACCTGGATGATCAGATAACTTCTATCTGAATAAATATTAATTACTGTATCTTGTTGCATGATCAACTTTAGAAGAGAATTATTCAACTTCTTTATCAGGCATATCAAATGCTTTGCCAAATTCCTCGTTAAGAGTTCCAATCATCGGGGATGTCCATGTGAAATTTACTAAGATTGCATAGCTTTCTGTCCATATTTATTATCTCACACTTGTGAACCATGGGCAACTTTTAAATGTTAAAGTAAACATGGATGCAGATATTTTCCAGAAGTGGAAAATTCTATTTTGATTGTACAAATGGAAATGATGGAATAACAAAACAAATAAGAAGAGATTTGGTTTTGAAAAGAATGAGAAGTTCAATATAATTCCGCTTTTTCATTTACATTTACCTCTTTTTTATATTATATGCTCTTCTCTTAGTGAGAGCTGACATCTTCATTAGTTTGAGAAATTCTTATAACTTAATGAACATTTTATTCGACAGGGCAAGTGGACCATCTACTCGGAAGTCCTCTGATAGGAAGCTTCATATAAGTCAAATGCACAATGTAGCTAATACAATACTCAATTTTCTTTATGAATAAATTTTGACTCTTGATCTAAATATTTAATTTTGTTCTCTTAGAATAGGACTTCCAGAATGTGTAGAGCACTCTTTTTTCTATTTCTTTTGTTTCTTTTTATTTCAATTGTTTAGTTAGTTCAGATGATGAGCATGAAGAGTTGTTGGCTGCTGCAAATGCTGTTACAAATACGGATATTCATTTCGAATAGAAATTCTTGTTTTCTAATTTGTTAGAATATCATCTTGTGGCATCCATTCATTGCTTGTGAATGCAGCACAGGAAGAATTTTCAGCTGCTGGAATCCCAACTGTAATCGATCAGTTTGTAAATGACATGATTACCATATGTGGTTGAAATATTAAAGAGCTTGATTTTGCTACTTTTCTGTCTGTTAGATTTGTTTTTAAATAAGTGAAAATGCAGACATTTCCAAATCAATTTAGGTTCCAACTGGTATTTGCATTACCTTTGCTGTATTAGTTTTATACGTCTTTCACTTCAGATCATTCACAGCATTTGCATTCATCTACGTTCGCTTAACATTTCACACCTGCGTCACTTGATGGATTTGGGAATAAAATACCTTGCCAATAGTTATCGAAGAATCAAAAGCTCAGACTTTGCCGCAACCATTACAAGTTTTCATTGGTTCTCAATTTTATGCTAAAGTCATGGAAACGTTGTACGACTTTACACTCTCCTTGATAAAAAAAATTTCACCATTATAAATTCTATTATGGAATTTGGTGATTCACTTCTCCTTTCCTTTATATCATTATGCTGTTTGCATTTCTTGCACCACTAATCTGATCTGGGCTGTTCTTTTTTGTGTGAGCAATGAAGCTATGGCAGCATTTGTAGAAAGTTCTAGATAGTTTCTGGAGGAACTCTCGCTGAATGATGAGACGAAGGTATGAAATATATGGAGTTATTTAAGTCATTCGACCAAACATGAGAATTTGCTGTAAGTTTATTAACATCAGCAATTTAACACTATTCCTATCGACCTATTTGTTTGATGCTTACGATGAGCCATAATAATGTCGGATTTTTTTCATTTAAAATTTTTTCAATATAAATTTGTTCAATGTAAATTATTTCAAATTTTCTACTGGTGAAAATTACTGATTAATTTATTTTAAAATTTTTTTTGTTCGTATTACAGATAAATTTTTTTCTATTTAAATTTTTTAAAAATTCTTTTCTCTTTATGATCAAACTTAATTTTTTCAATTACTGCTTTTCTCTCGGAGGAATTTTTTTCTATTTAAAATTTTTTCAATATAAATTTGTTCGATTTAAAATTATTTCATTTTTTTTCTACTGGTGGAAATTATTGCTTTTCTTTGCACAAAGTTGAGTTGGTCATTTTTGTCATTACTATAGTGATTCATTCCATTTCAAAATTAATGTCACCAATAGCTTACTTCAAATGATTATTTTTATAGCTAATTGATTCGCTTCTTCTTTAAACACGAAACTCCTATCGACGTTAAAAAAGCTAATATCACATTCAAAATAATCCTGCTCGTGCATTACACGGGTAATGGACTAGTTTTATGAAAAGAAGACAAGAACTAATGAAATAGTCTATATTATCACTTTTGCTTATCCATATTTTCTCAATCGTCATTTGACTAGTCGTATTTGATTATTATCGGATGATAAACTTGTAAATGCACAATAAATACAATAATAGCTACAACATTGCGTCTGAGAATTGTAAAATGTCAATGGTAAAAAAATTGATTAAAATTGCCAAGAATTACTCTCAAAAAGGGGCTAAGAATACTTGTGAGTCTCACGAAATATTTGAACAAAAATAAGAAAGTGTTGTGAAAAAAAAAAAAGGTATAAATGCGAACAAAACACAAGTATACTCAATAAATTTGATCGACTATATGAGTTATCTTTCAAGGTCCATTCAATTCAAGTGTGTTTGATTGCAAGCCTTATTTGCATGAAAATTATTAATTAAATATGTTCGATTGATTTAATTTTCGGAGATGAAGCCGATAGGTGAGAGAGAGATGGTGAATTGCCTAAAAATAAAAAAATTATTTCCCCCCACAAACAAATTATTTTCCTTATTTTTGAAAAAAATATATGATCACATGGTCAATTTTGGAAAAATATTTTTTATGAAAAAATATCGTTCAAACATTTCAAAAATTAAAATTTGAATAAAAAACAACATTTTTTATAAGCGGAGGAATTGAGTGTTGCACCTCTTCTTCCATGGGAATGAGAACTCGTTGATGGGTTTGGTTTTTGGTGAATCTAATGCCTTGGCTAAGATTCTTGGGGTTGTGAGGGTTAAACTAGTTATGGATGCTATGTTAAGGAATAAAAATCTCACATTGATTAAATACCGAAATATTGACGAATTTAAAAAGATATTGGACTACTCCTCTTAATAAAGTTGACCTTTTAAGATGGAACTCCAAGTCTTAACATGCCATTGAAAAGATGCATATAAGCGTTCTTTTGCGAAAATTGAGAGGAAATGAGATTATTTTGAGTAGAATTTTGCACACAATATTCTTATCATATTTCTGCAAAGTGCAAAATTCTTATCATATTTCTGCAAATCATACACTGTCACGTTTATATGCACCAGAGTTATTGTATAAAAATATCTCTTTTTTGGGTAAGAAATCATAGACCTTTCCAGAGGTTTTTAAAAAAATTGATATTAAAAAAATAGATTGTACATTCCACCCATATTTGATATAAATGAAAATTCAATTTTTAATTTAAATCAACGCTAATGATTAATTTTAATCATAGTTATGAAAATCGGCTCGGACCACCATCCGGTTCGACTCTGATCTGAGTTAATTAATTATACAAACAAACAATGGAACCAGTCATGAACCGATTAAACCACTCAAAACTACCCCCAAATTGGGTGGCTTTAAGACAAACCGGATCCTGTTCAACGTGTGAAC